TCAGCAACCATGAAAAAGAAATGGAGAGTCTCGGCTTGTGGGATCTAAGCAACTGTAAGGGACACTCTTCACACAGAATCAGCCAGCTCTAACTCAGCGATCTAGCCAAGCCCTTAGTTGCCAGGCAGGTTTATTACCAGTTGATCTCTCTTTCTTTAGTGGTGTGTTCTGTGACCGTAGTGGAATGTGCAACAATTCAGAGAATGCTGGCTGCCAAAGAGTAAACTGCTAAGGAAATTGAATGAATATTATTCCTATCCGGTTTATTACTGGTTGTTCTTGCATTCTTTAGTATGCCATAAATCTGTATGCTAGTATTTATTTTAGGGAGACAAAGTCTATGGATTGGGGAGGTTCCATCAAATTTTGCAAGGTTTCTGCAGAACACTGTTCTTGCTTTCTGCAAAAATTCCTTATTCTCTGTTGCTTCTGGTAGGTTGCCCGATACCTCTCGGGGATTTCTGCCTTTGACTTTGGGATGGTTTTTCTTCCTGTTCAAAAGACTGTCACAGTCTTCAGGGTCACGTTCATGGTCAAATAGACCTTTTCCAACTTACTTTTCTAAGCATTCTCTTCCCGATTATGTGACATCTCGGTTTCTCCATACAAGGTGTTTGTGGTCTGCTTTGTTTTGTTCTATCAAAGCATTCTTGATGCACATCTCTGGAAGCTGCACCTAAGCGTTTGTGTCCAGGCCTGTTTTTGGTTGTTGTTCTTTTGTTTTTTGACAGTTTGTTGTCCCCACCTTACCTGCCCCCGAAGCACCCACGTGCCCTCTGCTGTCAAGAGTTTTTTTTAAAAGAAGCCTTGCCTCACTTGCTGGTTCTCTCCCAAGCTTTTCCCAGAGCGCCCGAGCCGCCACCGAGCAGAGCTCGCTCCCGGCCTGTCCTCAAAGAGAGCCTCCAAGTTGCCAACAGCAGCTGCCCCCACTGATGCCTCTTCCAGAGAAGCAGCTCTCTGGCTCTCTTTCTCTCTCAGGGAGGAAAGACAGACAGACAGACAGACAGACAGACAGACAGACAGACAGACAGACAGACAGACAGACAGACAGAGAAAGAAAGAAAGAAAGAAAGAAAGAAAGAAAGAAAGAAAGAAAGAAAGAAAGAAAGAAAGAAAGAAAGAAAGAAAGAAAGAAAGAAAGAAAGAAAGAAAGAAACTGTTATGTGTCCCTTGTCCCTGCTCTGGAGTCTCCCCCCCCCTTTTTTTTTGGAGCTCCTGGCTCTGAAGGAAACTCTGGCTTGGCTCTTGGTTCTACTTGGCTCTGCGCAAGGACTGGATGGCGGGTTGCTGACATCTCAGCTTGACTGCTGGTGGGGCCTTTCGTCTACAGTATGGCTGTGTTACGGTTCCGTGACAATAGGCATTTCACAGGGAGAATGCAGCTGACCTTTTGCCCATGGGAAAAGGTCATCTTGGATGTGGCCCTTGTTCACCGAGGTGACCACCGAAGGGGTATTTGAAAAGGTAGACATTGCTGTCAGTGGACAGTTGGGGTTTTCCTTTCCTGAGCCTTGGGGGACTCCACCGCTACCCACATGGCATGGAGGTCAAAGTGTGTGACTAGAATCAATTTTGGGCCATAAACTGGAAACCACGCAAGCAGCGTGCACAGCCTCTCATGCGCAGGGGTGTCCTTGGACTGGGCAGTCAGTCACACCCTCAGCCACACACCTTGGCACAAGAGAGCCTGGAAAAAGCAAGCACCGCTTACGCAGCTGCCCTTGTGTGCATGGCATTGTGTGTTAAGATTCGGCCAGTTGTTCCACCATTTCCAGGGAGGAGCCGGCTGTGGTTTCTGGCTGGCTGGGCAAGGAGGCTAGTGGAGTCTTTTTCTTCTTCCAGGGAAGCCCTTCGACCCCACCTTCCTGCTCAGCTGTGCTACGTCCAACATCATCTGCTCCATCGTCTTTGGTGCCCATTTTGATTATGATGACGAGAGGTTTCTAGCCCTCCTCAACACATTCAATGACAACTTCAAGATTTTTAGCTCTCCTTGGGTACAGGTAAGACCCTTGTCTGCTTGGTCCATGAGAAGCACCACGTAAACGCGTGACCTTTTATTGGTCTTGCGCCTAGAGGGCTCCCCTGTGGTCCCACACATAGGTGGTCCTGAGCGATGGGGAGGGGAGGGGCTCCTGCCCCCAAAGGGTTGATGGTCTACCTGGACATCATGAGAAGAACGACAGAGAGGAAGACAGAAGGGTCTTCAGTTGGAGGCCAAGGGTCTTCTGTTGAGATCCGACATCTCCAGCTGCCAGGCCCCTCACAAAGGCCAGGCACGCGGGAAGAGGCTGGCAAGTTCCCTGTCATGCAGGATTTGCGTTTTCACCACCCTGTTTTTGAGTTCAAGGTATATTGGTAGATCTGTGTGCTTTCTCGCTGGACAAAGGAGACTTTGTGGAACTTCCTTCCCTGTCCCTTCCGTGAGACCTAGAAAAGTTGTAGCCATGTTTAAGGGGGCCACCAAAATGGGCACAAAGCCACTGGACCTTGTTAAGCCTTGGGATGTTCCAGTCAGTTTCTCACTGAGCTGAAGCAGGTGCTCTCTTTGCCCACAAGCACCCTGGAAGGGAAAAGGGATGGTTGACACCAGTGACCGGGACGTTTCTCTTCTGCCTTGCCTTTCAGATGGCCAATCTCTTCCCGGCTTTCATGGACCTCATTCCTGGACCTCACCAGAGATTAATCAAAAACAATGAAAAATTAAAAGAGTTTGTTTCCCAAGCGGTGAAACAGCACAAGGAGACTCTGGATCCGAGTGCCACCCGGGATTTTATTGACTGCTTCCTTATTAGAATGGAGCAGGTAAGTTTAAAGGCAGAGCCCGCGGTCCAAGGGAGTGAGAAGCTCGCCCGTGGGCTCACGCGTCAGAGGGGAGCTCCTTGGTCTGAGGGGAAGCTAAGAGGGCTGGTCGTCAGTGGACCGAGTGCCCAGGTTGGGAGGCTGGCCCTGCAGCCTCGGTGGCACCACCAAACACTCGGAATGCAGCCGAGCAGCCTTGGCACAAGGGAGGGAAATGCCAGGGGCTGGTGGGCTAAATGCACCTCACACACACAGAAACCCAGCCTCCTCCTCTTCCTCCACCGGCATGGCCTGCCCTGACCTGGCACTCCTCTTTGGGAGGCCTGGAGAAGCTTCCCGAGGCATCACCTGGTGCCTTGAGAACCAGGCAACCCCATTTGCCAGCCTGGCACACATCTCTACTCACCTGGCATCTTTGGGAGAAAGAAAAGGAGACATCCATTCTGTTCATAGATTGCCAGGATTTGTCTCCTTCCTCTCGCCTGAATCTGAGGGTAGCCCCGGATGCCATTTTCAGTCAGGAACACTTACATTTACTCTTGTGTGCACTCACTACATGAGGTGGAAGCATGAGAGGACATGCTGTGGTGGATCAGCGGGTGGGGAGTCTCTTGGGAAACAGGAACGGAAGTTGGAATGATGGTGAGAATATACAGCCTTGTCGTACTCCTTTCCCAATTTTGAACCAATCAGTT